TACTAAATAAATTTTAGCTATTGCCTATGATATTCTCGTAGCTACATTGAAAAAGAACCGAGGAAAGGTAGGTTGACCTACCCTTGATTCTTATATAGTCTCTCAGAATAATAAACTACGGGCGCCTGTATAAAAAAGGGACTGAAGAAATATTTTAATACACAAAAGGAAATAACTTACCTACCGGTACCATTAAAATGCAGTATAGGCCTAAATGACGGCCTGGTTTGAAAACATTCTTTCGTACGTAACTTGAGCCTGCCTAGGCCTGTACGCCTATCTTTTTGCTGGACGGACTAGCATATTATTTGTGTGCTTTGTCGATCATCGAGATTCCATAAATTCAAAAATAAAATGCCAAAATCATGGCCCATCCATCCAGTGATTTTAATTTGTAGATGAAAATAATAAGTTCATTTGGACATGCAGACATGGAATACGTAACGTAATATGTTATGTTTCATCGTGGCTGCCAGTAGGCCTACAACGCCTATAAACTGCTTCGCTTCGAGAGTCATTCCAGAAAATTGAAGAATGAAGATATATATTAAGTTTTACAAACCGGTAGAACAAAACCTGTGAGTATGATGTATGGCAATGACTTGTTTTACGACCCTTCTTTCTTTCAAGTGAAACGAAGCTGGATTCATTGAGTTCACCGCGCGCGACGTCAACAGAATCAATGCACAAAGATGGCGGTCGTATTTACATGTCGCGGGTCACGTGACGGCCATTCTAGTCTATTTATATATTTCTATGGATATGGGCGCCTTTTTAAGTAGCCGTTAAGCTAGTACCCCGAAAAAACTCACCGATCGTCGTGGTGACTTAACTTTGCTACATACAGCCAATAAAGATGGGCATATTTTTAAATGTTGTCAGTAATTGTTGTTATCAACTTGTTTTTATCAATAATTGTTTTTATACGCCCACATTTTATTCTGTACTTATATTGTCGTCCATCCGTCAACGGGGGACTTGGATTCCCGAATGGTCAGCACGTGCGCGCTGTATCATAAGATCAGTTATTGAGTCAACTGGCGTGGTTTCGATTTCCCGGTTGTACGTGACAAAGAGTAGGGTCGCCTGTCCAACCTCGTGGATTTTAGGGGGTCAAAACAGAAGGACGTTAAACCCCATTTCATTTCGTGGGTTTTATCAGGGTCCTCCGGGTTCCCCCACTGCTAAAGACCCCTACGCGCAAGCGAATTATTGAAATAAAATTGAACCATATGTTAGTCCCGAAATGAACTAGTTTGTGTCGAGTAAACATTAAACTCCATTTCTTTCTCTCCCATCCGTTAACAATGTGTTTGTGGACCCACTCGAGGTCATAATTTTTATCCGATTTTGCTATAGGTTTATAAGCCAAAGACCTCGGTTCCTTTCGATATTAACGCATATCGGACCGTAACTTCCTGAATTTTGGCATCTGATTGTACGAAAAATCGTGTTTTTAGCTTGTGAACCCTGTAGAGGTCATAATTTTTATTTGATTTTGATGAAACTTACAATTTATCCCAAAGATCTAGGTTCTATTCGAAATTCGCACATATCGGACCGTAACGTCACGAATTATGATGGGTGGCCGAATGGTTAGCACGCGCGCGCTGTATCATACGGCCTGTCATTGAGTCAACTGGCGTGTTTCGAATCCCCGGTTGTACGTGACAAGGTGTGGGGTCGCCTGTCCAACCTCGTGGGTTTTCTCCGGGTCCTCCGGTTTCCTTCCACTGCTAAAAACCCCTACGCACAAGCAAATTATTGAAATAAAATTACTACCATATGTTAGTTCCGAAATAACCTAGTTTGTGTCGAGTGGACGTTAAACCCCATTTCTCATTCTCCGAATTATGACCCCCGATTGTAAGAAAAATCCCCTTTGTAGCCCGTGGTCTCTAGAGGTCACAATTTTTATCCGAATTTAAAAACCGTTCAAATATATCACCGTTACACCTTAATGGCAGTTGAGTTCGAATTTCACTCCTCGTAAGCAAATAGTGTAAAAGTATGTTATAGCAAGGTGTTGGACACTCAAGATATCGCAATTTTATACGATTTTAATGAAGCTTAAAATATTTGTTTAATTCCTAAAGATCATGTTTTTTTTTATAGTCGCGCATACCAGACCGTAACTTACTGGATTATGGCCCCTGATTGTACGACAAATCATCGCTTTTAGCTTGTTTTCTGTCCATCTCTTGAAGAATGTGGGCGTATCTTGCATGACAACCGCTTGTTCAGTTATATGAAAGGGGTCTCTAACTAGCAGTGCCCGTTTTAATTCTTGCCGGCCAGGTTGTTGTTAAACTTTAGATAATGGAGTTTAACGTCCACTCGACAGAAACTATGACATTTCGGAACTTACCTTACTCGTTGCCACATACAAGCGGGGAATGAAAGACAGATTATATTACCTAACATCCCTTTGCTGTAGATAGTATTACACAAGGGGTTATTCATCGCGGCTAACGGCCATTTTGTGTGTATTTAACGTGGGTATTCAACGTGGCTATTCAAATTGGGTTTCCCTTGTCAGAACACCATCTTTTACACTGTCCAAACTTCAACACTTTTCGTCGAGAAACCATTTCTATATTAACTGATGGGTATAAGAACAGCAAAACTCTACTCTACGGCCTATATGTCTCCGACAACCTAATTAATAATCTTTACAGTTAAATTATATTATTATTATTATTATTGTTCGATTTATATAGCGCTTCATTACACGTGAAGTGTTTCTAAGCGAATATCACAAACATATACTTCAAACACACAAAAACAATCAAAATCAGGAGAACATAATTAAACACAGCTGCCTGTTAGGCGCTATTATTCAAAGGTTTATATCCAACAAATCAACCGGCTAATCTCTATATTGAACTCAGTCGAGGTATTACCTGATGAACACCTACACCAAGTAGAGTTCAAAAATAAAAAACGAAGTTTAAAAGAATCAGCTTCATTAACAAAAATTAAACAATCAAAAACTAAACAGATAAATCAAATTCAAACGAAACAAATAAAACAAAGAAAACAGATCTATTTTTCATTTCGTTTTTTTATACTTTCGATGGCCTACACTACATGTAGCGATAGGTCGCGTCAGGTCACGGGCGGCTTTTGACCCTATGACATCAGAATTTGATTAACCAATCGGCATTGATGTTACTAGTGGATTTTCCACAGTTTTGTACAAAACACGTCCAAAGCTCGCTGTAACAGGCTGTTTCATTAGCTAGTGCATCACACTATTCAAAGCACGTCCATGATAACAACTCTTCCAGATCCTAGTGTAGTAAAGACAGTAAAACAAAATTTTTAACTAGAAAAACCGAAACGAAATAGGATCTGTGTTATAATCAGATTGGGGGCCTCCGGTATTGGTGTAGAATAACATTGTCACTGCCATAAGCTTTACTTATCCAAATTATTCTTAACCATTCGTCGCCATCCTCCGACTTAATCTTCCTCTGGTTAGGGATTGTGAGGGGCCTAACAAATAGTACAGTCTAGGGCTTCTTTAATAATCTTGTGTCGTTTAATGTCCAGCCTACAACCATACCAATATCTGCACTTCCCCTCCATGTCTTACGGAACACTGCAAGGAATCGGTGATTTTAGAAGTGAATTCCAGTGATTGTAAATGAATTCTGGTGATTTCAATTTAACTAAACCATCTTAAATTATTATTATTATTACATACTATGATACTTTAGGTGTACTCAACTAAGTAAGGGTTGTATATATTGTATATACTGCTTTTTATTATTAGTATATAATTGGTATTGTAAATAGGCATAAGGGTCTGACATAGGCATTTTGCCTGTTTCCCAATCTCCCATTCACTTATAGTGAATAAAATATCTCTTATAAAAAAAGAACGGAAAGTCTGACAATGAACATTATCTAGTCATCCGAAAGGTATGGAAAAAGGGAAGTCCCGCGTACACTTTGGCGTGTAGGTGAACGAACTCTTGACTGTTGATGAAACGCTGCTGTCCAGACAAAATCGTGCCCATAGCCCACTGTATGGCGTCTGTCGATCTTTATTATTAGCCCCGTCTTCGTTAGTTAGCCCAGCAAATAAGACATTAGTGCAGCAAATAAGACATTAAACATCATTTCATGATGAAGACAATATTGTTCTTTCCGATAAAGATTACTCGTAAATAAGCAACCGTCATATAAGTTTGTTGTTAAAACAACGAAATCTAAATACTGTATGATAGAGGTTTTCTTACTGCAAGTCTTAAAACCACTGAGAGCAAGTACCGGATTATAAAAAAAACACACATAACGTTCCAAGGGGTTCGTTCATATGCCGTGGCGGGTTAAATGGCCGAATGGTTTGCGCGTGCTCGTTGCATCATAAGGCCTGTCATTGAGTCAAGTGGCGTGGTTTCGATTCCTCGGTTGTACGTGATAAGGAGTAAGGTCACCTGTTCAACCTCGTGGGTTTTCTGTGGGTCCTCCGGTTTCCTCCCACTGCTAAAGACCCCTACGCGCAAGCGAATTATTGAAATAAAATTGAACCATATGTTAGTCCCGAAATGACATAGTTTGTGTCGAGTTAACGTTACCCCCCTCTCTCTCTCCCTCTCTCTCTCTCTCTCTCTCTCTCACACACCCTCTCTCTCTCTCATACCGTAATAAACAATCAATCTGCTGTCTTGTTTCGCGTTTACAGGATTCTGTATGTCAGAACATAAACAGGGGGAGACAACTGCACGATTGATAACCAAACAAAATGAATAGCTATAGGAGTCTTAGTGACCAACTGAAGCATCGCTTCACATTTAAATGAAAACATTGCAGATGGACCAAAGGATATCAGTGATGACAATGGACGTTCACACAAATTTGGGGATTTTACAAAGATGGACACAATGCACGACCACATTAACTTGAGAAGTAAACAAAAATCGTTTTGACCCACGATGACATTAACAGGTGAGTTTTTTTTTTTTTTAAAAAAATATAGTAAATATAACACATTTTATGTAAATTATAATTTTAATATCACAACATGCAAAAGTCTAAATGACAGAAAAATGGTAAAAACTATAATTGTCAACAACACACTTCATGCACACTACTATAGCTGCTGTCGGGGCAAAATTGCTCCTAACGCACACTGTAAGGCGTATTCCCGTCTTGATTAGTCCAGTCGGATCAGAACAATAGGATGTTAAAGCACATTTATTTCATTTCAATCTATATCGGATTATGTGTCCTGGATCAATTTTTAATCTGTCTTTACACTTGGGAACAACATTCCGCCATTCTTGTCTTGTTGATCTTTCGTTTTCTGATGTTTAGTCTTTCTCAGCTTCTGACCAACAACAACTGTATCACCATTGTCGGTAGAGCTTCTTGATCCTCTTTCATGTCCGACCAACAACAACTGTATCACCATTGTCGATACAACGCCTTTCACAACATACCAAGTGTTGACGATGTTGTAAACGATGACAATATCTGTTTTGCTAGTCATCCATTACATTGTTTGTCTGCCCCCACCCACCCCATACATACACCCACACGCACACACGCCGGAATTGCACACATGATCATAGTAATTAAATATAAATGTATGGTAGTCTCATCATGGCCTAGTAATCAAAATACAATGGACGAATAGGAATTGTTCACTCACCACGTGGGAAAAATGCTATCTGGACGAACTCGAATCGATAACATCAAGTTCACTCGCCACGTGGAAACGAAATCGGATTTTATAAAAATTTAATGATACATATTTAAGCTATAATTAAAAGTTATTAGTCAATATCTAAATGTGCCTGTATCTCTTGCTCCAACTTTTAGCGGAATGGGAAACGAATAACCCCTGGCGTGATTTTGTTTATTTACTTTCGGAGGATCATTTCTGAGATCGTTGGTCTATCGTAAATAAAACGTAAAGTCCGGTTCCTATCACATTAAATTACTTAATGAGGAAACATATCAAGTCTAAGGTCACACGACCTGTGGCACGCCCGTATTCAGAGCGCTCCACCAATTCCACAAAGCCCAGTCATTCCAAATGTTATCATCTCCACCAATAATAGCACTGACTCCTCCGCCGATAAGCGCATCGTTGTCTCCGCCGAGAAGCGCAAGGTTGTCTCCGCCGAGAAGCGCAAGGTTGTCTCCGCCGAGAAGCGCAAGGTTGTCTCCACCGATAAGCGCAAGGTTGTCTCCGCCAATCATAGCACTGGCTCCTCCACCGAAAAGCGCATCGTTGCCTCCACCGATAAGAGCAAGGTTGCCTCCGCCGATAAGCGCATGGTTGTCTCCGCCGATAAGCGCGCGGTTGTTTCCGCCGATAAGCGCACGGTTGTTTCCGCCGATACGCGCACGGTTGTGTTCGCCGATAAGCACACGGTGGTCTCCGCCGATAAGCGCACGGTTGCCTCTGCCGATAAGCGCACGGTTGTTTCCGCCGATAAGCGCACGGTGATCCCCGCCGATAAGCGCACGGTTGTTTCCGCCGATAAGCGCACGGTTGTTTCCGCCGATAAGCGCACGGTTGTTTCCGCCGATAGGCACACGGTTGTTTCCGCCGATAGGCGCACGATTGTTTACGCCGATAGGCGCACGGTTGTTTACGCCGATAGGCGCACGGTTGTTTACGCCGATAGGCGCACGGTTGTTTCCGCCGATAGGCGCACGATTGTTTCCGCCCATAGGCGCACGGTTGTTTACGCCGATAGGCGCACGGTTGTTTACGCCGATAGGCGCACGGTTGTTTAAGCCGATTGGCGTACGGTTGTTTCCGCCGATTGGCGTACGGTTGTTTCCGCCGATAGGCGCACGATTGTTTCCGCCGATAGGCGCACGGTTGTTTAAGCCAATAGGCGCACGGTTGCTTCCGCCGCTTGGCGCACGATTGTTTCCGCCGATAGGCGCACGGTTGTTTCCGCCGATTGGCGTACGGTTGTTTCCGCCGATAGGCGCACGATTGTTTCCGCCGATAGGCGCACGGTTGTTTAAGCCGATAGGCGCACGGTTGGTTCCGCCGCTTGGCGCACGGTTGTTTCCGCCGATAAGCGCACGGTGGTCTCCACCGGTCCTACCATCATTATAATAATCGTCATAATCCTTATCATAACTATCGTCATGATCACTACTTTTATAATCATAATAATAGTCATAGTCGTAATCTCCCCTTTTGTAATCATTGTCGTAATCAGAACTTCTATAATCATCGTCGTAACTATAATTCCGTTCTCTGTGTGAATCGACGTAGTCATCAAACCATCCAGCTACAAAACAAAAACATTAATGAATTAGGTGCTACGGCTCAACCCCTACCAAAGTCTCTCATAGCCCCCACAAACATAAATGAACTGGGAGGTTTAACAAGTTTTGCACCCTCCCCACCCACACACTGTTCCCGCTTCTCCAAGGTTTAACGTGATATACCCCCATGCCAACGCACACAATCCCCAGCCCCACGCCATACCACATTACACCAGCCCCATCCCACACTACCCCAGCCCCACTCCAACTCACATAATCCCCAGCCCAACGCCAAAACCCAACCCCATCCCACACTAACCCAGTCCCAGTCCCATCTAACACTACCCCAGCCCCATGCCAACCCATACTTCCCCCAGCCGCACCCACACTACCCCAGCCCCAGTCCCATCCAACACTACCACAGCCCCAGCCCCACGCCATACCACATTACACCAGCCCCATCCCACACTACCCCAGCCCCACCCCAACTCACATAATCCCCAGCCCAACGCCAACCCCAACCCCATCCCACACTAACCCAGTCCCAGTCCCATCTAACACTACCCCAGCCCCATGCCAACCCATACTTCCTCCAGCCGCACCCACACTACCCCAGCCCCAGTCCCATCCAACACTACCACAGCCCCACACCAACCCACACTACCCCAGTCTCCTCAAACATGACTGATTTAGGTTTAACGAGCGGCATCTCGACCCCAACCTCCCAGCCTCCTCCAACATACATGCATTTTGGTTAACACTCTACACCCCATCCCCTCCCAACCTCCTCCATCATAAATGAATTAGATTTAACAATGTACATCCCAACCCCACCCGCCTCAAACATAAATGAATTAGATTGAACAATGTTCGCCCCAACCCCACCGGCATCGAACATAAATCAAATTAGTTTTAACAGTGTACGTCCCGACTCAAAACGCTTCGAATAGATGGGAAATGAAATGAAACGACATGTCCAATGATTCTGCTCCGACTGCGAACAGATGGGATAATAATGACAGTGGTAAGCGTGTACTGTTTGACGTCAACTGGCAGTCTATCGCCATTGAGGAGACGACCACTGTCAAGATTGGTCGCATTATTTCTGTTAGTGTTACGTCTTTTTTTTTCAAATTCGAGTGAAGTCTGTGTCACCACAGGCCCGGGACTGTATAGCGCAGTGGACGCTTACGGCTAGCCCCCGGATCCATTCACTTGATTTGATATTTGTCCGCAGGTTTATCTTGTCGATTTTTGTTTTGCGTGTGGTGCGGAGAAAGAGAGAGAGAGAGAGAAATGGGGTTTAACGTTCACTCGACACAAACTAGGTCATTTCGGGACTAACACATGGTTCAATTTTTATTTCAATAATTCGCTTGCGCGTAGGGGTCTTTAGAAGTGGGAGGAAACCGGGGGACCCGGTGAAAACTAACGAGGTTGGACAGGCGACCCTACTCCTTGTCACGTACAACCGGGGATTCGAAATCACGCCAGTAGACTCAATGACAGACTTTAAGATCCGACCCCCCCCCCCCCCCCGTGTGGTGCGGTCCTCCTGCACTTACTAATGGGAAGGAAACTTAAGTCACGCAGAATGTCGGATATTCCGGGGAGAAAGAAAGAGTCGGGGTAGGTGATTGGCGGCTAACAATTTAACTGACGTTATCCGAACAAGTTCCTCTGGATTTCCAGCCTTGTTTCGTTTGGCCAGTGGTGCAGGCCGGGGGTCCTTGCGAGGAAAATTCGTTGTGACGTGCGCTTGAAATATCCCTTGACAGTTAAAAGTCACTGAAGTGATGGCGGAAATCTCACTTATAGCCTTTTGTGTGGTGTATGTATGACCCTCTGTATTAGTTTCCTTGGTGCAGAAGAGTAGGGCGTTAAACCCCATTTTATTTCAACTTTCATTGGAACTCAGTTGAAATTGTCTGCATAGACTCTGGAAGATCTAAGGGGGCGATATAAAACGTAGCTTCGGGACTTTAACAGGAAGTATCCTTCACATGCCTCCTTTCTCCTAACCACAATAAAAATAACAACAACAATATGATATTACGTACGTGCAGACGCGACCATGGAAATCATCACCACAACTAAAATTAATTTCGTATTGACCATTTTACTTGTAACAGTTGGCAGTAGTCTTGATCTTTAACCTGAAAAATAATCGACAGGAGGGTATTGTAAAGTGAGTGTTACGTTTTCTAAATAACGGATTACATTTCCCAGACATCCGTCCGACACGATAGATAGATCTTACAGTTGGTTCCCATATCAGCCGCCCTAGAGGCTGGGAGCTCGGAAGAGCTTAGGTTGAGGCAAGTTTTCATGTGTTGTAGCATAGCCGATCGAAGATAAAAGCTAGCCCACAAGCTTACAACAACAAAGGTGTAACAACACTATCCTTGCTAGACATTCTTTGCTTTGGTCACTAATAGTCTAGGGAGAGAGAGAGAAATGGGGTTTAACGTCCACTCGACACAAACTAGGTCATTTCGGGACTAACATATGGTTTAATTTTATTTACATAATTCGCTCGCTTGCGCGTAGGGGTCTTTAGCAGTGGAAGGAAACCGGAGGACCCGGAGAAAACCCACGAGGTTGGACAGGCGACCCTACTCCTTGCCACGTACAACCGGGGATTCGAAACCACGCCAGTCGACTCAATGACAGACTTTATGATACAGCGCGCGCACGCTAACCATTCAGCCATCCAACCCCCCCACTAATAGTCTAGGTATGATTGGCGTGTATATTGTTGTATCTCTCCAATCTTGGACATCACGTTGTTGCAGTTATGAACTTAAGATATTTCTCTTAGAATTGACTCTCCGGAATAACCCAGAAACCCGCTATTCTTCGTAAATATGTTTTTAAATCAAAATCAAACAGGATACCAATCTGATTCAAACACAGATCCTATTTCGTTTCGTTTTTTATAGTTCAAAATTTTGTTTTATTTGTCTTTACTATACCCGGATCTGGCGTGTGACGGAACTGTGGGTAATCCACTAGAAACATCAATGTTGATTGGTTGATCAAATGTCTGACGTCATAGGGTCAAAAGCCGCTCGTATGACCTCTGACGTGACCTATAGCTACAACAGGTCAGATCTTCAAGTAGTAGAGGCCATCGAAAGTATAAAAAAAAAAAAAACGAAAAAAAATATAGATCTGTATTATAATCAGATTGGCAGAATAAAAAGTTTACAAAAATAAATCTATGAATTAAAAAAAAAAAGACATGTCGATCTCAATCAAGCCAGCACGCTCTAGCGGGTATTATTGGAGACGTTCTGTCATTCATAAAATATTGGACCAAACTTATCACAATAATATTCTCTCTCTCTCTCTCTCTCTCTCTCTCCTAATCGTATGTTGTTGTTTATTACAATTTAACGTCCAATACATTAGATATGATTTAATTTAATTCAGTTATTTACATCTGAATGAGTAATATATAGAAAATAGGTAAAAACACTAAATAATAAAACGTTTTTGTGTATCTAAAAGTCACTTTAAAACACAGTTTTAACATCGCTGTCGTGAAAAAAGTGGGCAGGTCATCTTGTCATAATAAAAACAGGCGGTCCAGGTGTTTGATGCCATCGCAGCGGATTGAAAAAAAAACCTGTGGGAAAAAGAATCCGCTGTTTAATGTGGAGAAGATAAATTATCGCAGTTAAAACCATATAGCTGGACCCGTGGAGTATTTACACAAACAAATGTTCGTGTATTTCTTATTTAAAAGTTAGTTAAATGTTTTTTGACATAGATCACAACTTTGTTGTTTAAAATCATTTATTTTCTGCAGTCCATTAAAATTGTTCTTTGTGTGTGACTCTCCTAATCGTCTTAAATTTGGCCAGTTATGTGCTGATTATGGTGTTAACACCCTTTCGTCTTTATCAAAATATATCCAAAATTCACTTTCTTTAAGACGTTTGAAGTTTTATTAACTAATTATGTTTTATGTTACATGCATTATATCATTATTGTTTATAAAATATCAGTATTATATACATGTAAGATATGAAAATTGAAAATAGTACTTATATCATATAAATAAAATATTTGCATAAGCTACTTTCAATTTTCAATGTCTGCAATTCTGTAAATAGTTTCGATTTTGATGTCTATTGAATATTTTGTATCTATAAATAAAACACTAATTATTATTATTATAATGTATATCTGTTCCGCCGGTTAAGTTGTCATTTTATTATACTTAGCGCATGCGCGTGGGTCTTTCCTGTGGGAGGAAACTCGAGTACCCTTAGTAAACCCACCGGGTTGAGAACGCGCTCCTATCTCCAAGCCACGTAAGCTCATAACAGGGAACGAAACCACGACCGCACGTCAGAGGTGTCCAGTCAGCCAGAGCTCGATGCGCGACACTTTAGACCACTAGGACCACGGAGGTGAATATATTGATATGTGTGTATTGTGGTCACGTGACCCCATTGACGTAACGTTAACGTCGTGGGCCGTCACTGGAGACCGGCCGCCATGTTTCAACCGGAAAATAATGACGGAAGTGCCCGGATTAACAATATGTAAACAAGGGAAATAGACTGGCCGAGGGCGGACAAGCTCATTAAAAAAACAGTTCTAATTCAAAAATGTCAACCAAAAAAATGATGATTGAAAGATCTTACCTTACTGTCCTAAAAACAAAATCGTTTTGGTCAACTGGTATATTTTTGGGGCTATATTATTTAGAATAACTCTATCTTAATCATCATAATGCCAACCGGTATTGCTAAGGTGTATATTAGTGTAGAACTGACGAAATCATGGTTATTTTATTAATTGACCAAAGTGACCGTCCTCGAATGTCCAGATGCATAAAGTGGTCGGATAAATTTTGAACATAGGTCCTCGTAGTTCACATAAAACTTCATTTTGGATAGATTTCATTAATTTGTTGGACGATTTGAAATGAAGGGATTGCTTGATAACTATAACGTCATCCAGATGATAATAGATGATAAATAAAGAAATAAAATAGATTTTAAAAATAAATAAATAATCTAACATTATCTGATGTGAAAGATTTTAAACATACATTATGCAAGAGCTAAATCAGTCTATTGCAGGTCTTTCTTTAGGCCTTAAATATTATATAAACTATTAGACATTTATTAACCTATCCAGACCATAATAAACTCTAGATGGTATCGCTAGCCTGCGATCTGAAGTGGATTATGAGCCGATTTACTGCATAACTTTCCTTCACGATTTAACGATTAAATGGATAATCGAGACTATGCTGTTTATCGTACTGACTTTAGTAATGATGATCGAGGCTAGACCGAAATTTCATTCGCTTAGTTCTCGGTTCATAGTGGATCAATTTGAATGAAATTTTCAGCCTTTACATTATCTAGTTTTTAGCTATTATAGTGAAAACTGCCAACTCGTTATCGAATCTCCCATAATGTATCTTTAACAAAAGGAAAATTATTAAAACGGCTAGCAAGGCCTTAGGCTTATATGGTTTCAATTTCCATGATATGGTGCCTGATTTTTCTTTGGTTGAAAAATAGGACGGTATATTAAATTTTACAAAAAAATAAGATTTTCGCCCATTATTGACACACAGAATTAGCCAAATATGGATATGTAATACTAGGTTCCCACAGTCGTGAGATGCGTTACGATAGGATTGTCCCTGTATTAAGTCCACGGTATTGAGATACGTTTCGATACGATCAGCTTGATTGCTACCACCATAGAACTAAATATATACTAAGACCTGATAGGATCACCACGATTACTCCTCTACGATGAAAACCACGATTCCAATCGTAGCGCAAATCGCGATAGTGTGAACCTAGCATTGTTGTTCTTAGCGTTTAACGTCCGCTTCCACCGAAGGTGATATCGCAGACAAGTTCATTTTAATGATCTTAGCGCACGCGCAGGGGTCTTTGCTGTGGGAGGAAACCGGAGTACCCGGAGTAAACCCACGAGGTTGAGAAGGCGCCCCTATCTCCAAGCCACATACGCTCACACCTGGGATCGAAACCACAGCCGCAAGCCAGAGGTGACCGGCCAACTAGAGGTCGAAGCGTGACACTCTAGACCACTAGGCCATCCCAACCCCCCATTGAACCTAGCATAAGCAAAAATATATTTTATAGTTCAACAATCGACCTTGACACTCTAGATGCGTCATAGATACATCTACACAACATCCTGTTTATAATCCTGATAAGAAAAGAAATTAATTCCGTTTTAAATAAACATGTATCGTAACAGATAGGTTTTTATTATAGGTCAGGCTGTTATTATATTCAGGGGGTTGGATGGCCTAATGGTTAGAGTGTGCGCGCTGTATCATAAAGTCTGCCATTTAGTCAACTGTCGTGGTTTCGATTCCCCGGTTGTACGTGACAAGGAGTATGGTCGCCTGTTCAACCTCGTTGGTTTTCTCCGGGTCCTCCGGTTTCCTCCCACTGCTAAAGACCCCTGCGCGCAAGCGAAATATTAAAATAAAATTAAACCATGTGTTAGTCCAAAAATGTCCTTCTCTCTCTCTCTCTCTCTCTCTCTCTGTTATAATATTCATATAAAATTATAATTCAGTTCCCAGTTTTATTACAGTTTGACTAACGTGTATATTTACTATCCAACTTGTAGTTTCTTGTGGAGCCACGGTGGCTAAGTGAGGTAGCCGTTGGCTCGCTAGTCTGGGGGTTCTTGCGTTCGCCCCCCGGTGTTTGCAGAGAAGGGTCATCGGGACTTTCCTACGTGGTATCCCCTTGTCAGTGGTGCAGGACGCGGGGCCTGACAAAAACAGCTGTATAGTCGTTCGAATGGGACAGAAAACCGTGGTCCTGTGTACACATTGGCATGCACGTAAAAGATCCCTTGCCAGTTGGAATACGATGTAAGCGTGGCCGTAGCGCTGCTGTCTGGGCAAAGTTTCCCCCATAGCACAGTATATGGTGTATGCCCGCCTTCATTAGTCAATTCGGAGCAGAACAGTAGGACACTAAACCCAATTTCATTTTATGTAGTTTTTTTTAATACGGTGCGGGGTCAGGGGTCGACGTATAGTCGTTTGGATGGGACGAAAACCCAACGTCCCGTGTACACATTCGAGTGCACGTAAAAGATCCCTTGATATTTGGAATTCGATATAAGGTCGCAGTGCTGCTGGCCGGGCAAAATATCCCAATAGCATACTGCACGGCATGTAGCCGTCTTCATTAGCCCAGTCGGTGCCCGAAAACAGGACAAAAAAAAAATTCATTTCATTGCACATGTATTCATATCGGTAGATACATTTTACAAATTATGTTAGCAATAAACTCCCCAAAATAGTGGTGGCATACTCTACCTCTTAACCAACACCTGTCTAAAATTATTGACAAATGAAGGGATGGTTTGAATCTGAATTTCCGAAGTCGAAGCTAGTGGGTAGAAGATAGTCGCTGGGTCAAGGGTCACAAATCACAGAAGATGGCGGCGGAGTCAAAAGTCACCACTAGCAATATGAAATTAAGTTTGACATAACTTGAGACTAACATATTGAAATGGTCAGGTGTGCAATTGTATATTGTGGGATTTTACTCGGACTTCGGGCTTTCGTCTCATCCTAATGAAATCGGTTTTAACAAGGAGCAGGGTTCGGTTTCCTCCCACTGCTAAAGATCCCCTACGCTTGAGCGAATTATTAAAATAAAATTGAACCCTATGTTAGTCCCGAAATGACCTAATTTGTGTCGAGTGGACGGTAAACCCTATTTCTCTCCTAATTTATACTCATACTCTTCGTCGAGGTCCCCCTGTCAAGTTTCGTTCTAGACGCTGTTTCTGACTAGACGGGGGGTCGGATGGCCGAATGGTTAGCACGTGCGCGCTGTATCATAACGCCTGTCATTGAGTCAACTGGCGTGGTTTCGAATCCCCGGTTGTACGTGACAAGGAGTAGGATCGCCTGGCCAACCTGGTGGGTATTCTCCGGGTCCTCCGGTTTCCTCCCACTGCTAAAAACCCCAACGCGCAAGCGAATTATTGAAATAAAATTAAACGATATGTTAGTCCCGAAATGACCTAGTTTGTGTCGAGTGGACGTTAAACCCCATTTCTCTCCATGTTTCTGACTCGACCCCCAGACCAGCATGACTGAGAGGCGGGAACCAGTCTGGAAATTCTCGAGGAACTTTCTCGCCCAACAACAGGGATGCATGGAGAGGGAGTCTGTGAGTGTTTTAGGCTCGGGGCCCCTAAAGACGTTAATGTTCTCGCGTATTTTTGGGGGCCCTTTTTAGTCGTGAATTTACGTCGTTTTTCATGAATTGGTAAGATTGCAACACGCTAAATTTCTGTATAAGATAGAAACTTCAGTATATACCCTAGAATCCACCATTTACAATAAGTTTTTTTTTAAAAAAAAAACAAAACAAACAATCTTGCGCCCGGCCGAGATAACCCTCGCACCGCCCCTAGAGTGGGAAACCCTTTCGACGCCATACTAGGAACCCTCTGGCACACATTCCGCTCCTTGGCCAACATCAAGGTCGACCCCGGAACCTGCTATTTAGTTAGCAAGGAGTAGGATCAACTGTTCGACCTGGAGTGTTTTCTCGGGGTCCTCCGATTTCCTCCCACTGCTAAAGACCCCTACGCGCAAACGAATTATTGAAATAAAATTGATCCATACAGTATACTAGTCCCGAACGAAATGACCTATGTTGGTGTCAAGTGGACGTTACCATCCCCCTCTCTCTCTCTCTCTCTCTCTCTCTCTCTCTCACTTTCTCCTATAATTCATCAACTTTGATCCGGATATTAAATCAAGTTATTAATATTATAAGATATACTAACCGTGGTTATAGCAAGGAAGTAGTGTTAACGGTTAATACATCCCAGTAGACGGACGATATCTCAGTTATATCACAGATCCAACAAGTGTATGGATATCATTTGACGTATATATTTATATCCACGTTTTTCACGTCATTTACCCTTACCCAATTCTCAATTTATTTTTGGTGAAACATAGGCGTATTTTAGTTATACAGTCCGCGCCTAAAACACATAGAGTTTAATTCTGTAAAAAAAAATATGACGAAAAAAGTTAAATATTTTTAATTTATTTATACGTCATGTACGACGAAATATTGTCACCTGCTAGGTTTATTTTTATGATGTTTACGTATCATATCCGTTTTACCTTTTTATCTATAAAATTACTTTCTCATTTTTTATAAATTGATGATATTGTACTATTAAGATGCGGTGGGAAGCTAGCACAATATAATAATAATAATAATAATAATAATAATGACTTTATTTTAAAGTAGATTTGACTTTCGGGAACCACGGTGGCTAAGTGAGTAAGACGTTGGCTCGTTAGCCTAGCGGTTCGCGGTTTCGCTCCCGGTGTTGACCAAAAAAGTTCTTCGGGATTTGCCAGCGTAGTTTTCCCCTTGTCAGTGGCCTGCCTAGTCGTTCGGATGGAACGAAAACCCAAGGTCCCGTGTACACGTTGTCGTGCACGTAAAAGATCGCTTCACAGTTTGAATTCAATATAAGAGTAAACCGTAGCGCCGCTGTCCAGGCTAAATGTTTCTCATAGCACACTGTATGTCCGTCTTCATTAGCCCATTCGGGGCAGAACAGTAGGGCATTAAGCCCCATTTCATTTCATTTTAGATTTGAATTTCCCAGAGAAGGGGATGGAGATTTTCACCCCAATCAACACTACATCTTCTTGCAATTAAACCACCGTCCACAAATTGAGCTGATCATATAGGAAATGAAATGGGGTTTAACGTTCTACTGTTCTGCTCCGACTGGGATAATGAAGACGGGCATACGCCATACAGTGTGCTATGAGGGAAATTTTGCCCTACGGCCTACTCTTATATCGAATTCCAACTGTCAATATGTACACGGGACCTCGGTTGTTTGTCCCATCCGAAGGACTAGACAGCTGTCCTTGTCAGGCCCTCCGTCCTGCATCACTGACAAGTGGAACCACGCCGGAAAATCTGGATGAACTTTCTCGACTAATGCAGGGATCGAACACCCGACCTCCAGGCTAGTGATCATATAGGATTCAGCAATTGCCAAATAAATCTTAGACACTACTGTTGTGGGTTTTAAGAAAAAGAAACCACTCTTTGTCCAGTATCGGACTGAAAAATATCTTGATTACTCCCCATGGAGAGCGGAGGGGACGGGGGATCTATTGAAATGTAGTCAAGTAGCATGGGGTTGCAATTCAGGGCTTATACGTGACAAGGAGTAGGGTTGCCTGTCCAACCTCGTGGGTTTTCTCCGGTTTCCTCCCACCGCTAAAGACCCCTACACGCGAAGGAATTATTGATATAAAATTGAACAATATTTGTCCCGGAATGACCTAGTTTGTGTGGATTATACGTCAATATACAATTTTTTCCATATTTTTTTTTTTTAAAAAAAAAATCCTATATCATGCTCATAACCGTAACAGTCAAAACGTGAATATAAAAAAAAAGGTGTCAAACCGCGATCATAATATCCGTCAAGGCTCTTCCTTGTACCTGGTCAACAATGAAGCTAATACTAAGTGCAGAAGGACCGCACCACACACAATGAAATGAAATGGAATAAAATAAAATGGGGTTTAACGCCCTACTGTTCTGCTCCGAACTGGGCTAATGAAGACGGGAAATTTTGTCTGGACAGAGGCATTACGGCCTACTCTTATATCGAATTCCAACTGTCAAGGGATATTTTACGTGCACACCAATGTTACACGTGGCCTCGGTTTTTCGTCCCATCCGAACGACTAGACAGCTGTCCTTGTCAGACCCTCCTTCCAGCATCACTGGCAAGGGGAAACCACGCCGGACAATCCCGATTAACTTTCTCGGCCAATGCAGGGATCGAACCCGCAACCTCCAGGCTAGCGAGCCAACGTCTTACCCACTTAGCCACCCTGATCCCCGCACCACACACAAACAAGATAAACCTACAAACATGATATAATACAGACAACAAATCACTCAAAATGATAAACAATATAACAATAAGGGAAGCGATGGGGGGGGGGGCGTCCTTACTGCGCTGCTGCGACCGTACGGCGACTAGAAAATAAACAAGGTCAAAGCAAACGCCGTGACTTGGCAATCATTGGCGACCGTGGAGACCACAGCACGCTATCTGGCGTTTCCACCACGCTTATGGCGATCTAGAAGCGCTCTGCAACCATTTTCCGTCGCCCTAGCGTCGCAGTAAGGACGCCATCCTGGTCAGACGGAGGTATTAATAAATACAAAAAACACCCCAAAACAACCATAATGAATAATAACCGCAACAATTGAATATTTCATAAAAATTAAGAATAAATAAACATATCATGACTAATAAGAAACAAATGTACATCAGCTAAGAAGAAAAACCAGATAATTATTTTATGTGTCTCGCGTTCAGATGGAAATTTATGCACACTGACTATCTCACCTCTCATTTACAAGTAAAGGGTAGTTAGTGTGTCGTGCTTGAGGTAGGGTATGCTCACGTTTTCTAAAACACATGCAAAACAGTAGGACGTTATACCCCGTACACGTAAAAAATCCTTTTTTTATTTGGAATTCCCCCGGTTGTACGTGACAAGGAGTAGGGTCGCCTGTCCAACCTCGTGGGTTTTCTCCGGGTCCTCCGGTTTCCTCCCGATACTAAAGACCCCGAAGCGCAAGCGAATTATTGAAATAAAATTAAACCATATGTTAGTCCCGAAATGACCTAGTTGTGTCGAGTGGACGTTAAACCCCATTTCTCTCTCTCTCTCTCTATTTGGAATTCGATATAAGAGAAGGTCATAGTTCTGTCCGGGCAAAGTTTCACTCATATCACACTTTATGGCGTATGCCCGTCTTCAATAGTCCGGTAGGAGCAGAACAGTCGAACGTAAATCCCCGTACACGTAAAAGATCCCTTGGCAGTTGGATTTCGATATAAGAGAAGACCATAGTGCTGCTGTCCGGGCAAAGTTTCCCTCATAGAACACTGTGTTTGGCATATGCCCGTTTTCATTCACACGATAAGTGCAAGGGCGTTAAACTCCTATTTCATTTCCGAGTTCCGAAATCATTGTTGTAAGATGACCGATTGAGTAGGGCACAAAGGGAGAGTTTCTAGTCCTTCAGATGGGACGAAAAACCGTGAAGGATAGGCAGAAAAGTAGGACGTTAAACCCCTATCATTTCATCTCTGTTTACTTAGACCGGAGAACGCTAGATCGGGGACGGTCCCGCACATATGACGTCATATGTGGATTGTGCGTTAGGGTTGGGCTTAGTCCAGGGTTAGGGTCGGGGTTAGAACTAGCCCTGTCTACATCTCGAGAATTTGGCGAAATCCACATATGACGTCAGATGTACTAAAATGTGCAGGACCGTCTCCGATCTAGCCTTCTCCACTTCGACCGTCTTATTTTTGGACTGCACATGGCTAAGAAAATTGTAATGTTCCATTACTGTTCGGGGATATAGTCACTTGTCTAACAAGGATTATATGGGCTGGTATTTAAATTAGCAGCGTAGTTCCCGGTGTCCAAACATCGGTCACTGGAAATGAAATGAAATGAAATGGGGTTTAACGTCCTACTGTTTTGCTCCGAACTGGGCTAATGAAGACGGGCATACGCCATACAGTGTGCCATGAGGGAAATTTTGCCCGGACAGCGGCACTACGGCCTACTCTTATATCGAATTCCAACTGTCAAGGGATCTTTTACGTGCACTCCAATGTGTACACGGGACCTCGGTTTTTCGTCTCATCCGAATGACTAGACAGCTGTCCCTGTCAGGCCCTCCGTCCTGCATCACCACGCCGGAAAATCGGGATGAACTTTCTCGGCCAATGCAGGGATCGAACACCCGACCTCCAGGCTAGCGAGCCAGCGCCTTACCCACTTAGCCACCGTGATCCCCCGGTCACTGGAACCCATTATGATTATACTATTACTAGAATACATTATAGTAAGGGCGGGGGAGGGGAGGGGGGCGCACCACCCACCAACAATTAAACAAGACAAAGTAACGGACAGGACACGGTGGCTAAGTGGATAAGGCGCTGGCTCGTTAGCCTGGAGGTCGGGTGTTCACTCCCGGACGAAAAACCGACTACCCGTGTACACATTGGTGCGCAGGTAAAAGATCCTTCGCAGTTGGAATTCGATATAAGAGCCGGGCCGTAACGCCGCTGCCCGGGCAAAATTTCTGTATGGCGTATGCCCGTCTTCACTAGCTCAGTCGGCACAGAACAGTACGACATTAAACCTATTTCATTTCACATCATTACATTTCACAGACACTACAAACGTACACATCAAGTCAATTGCGAAACAAGTTTGGGTGTACTTTTAATGTCAGCTAAACAACAATTAAACGGATTTTAGTACACAACGGTCACGTTTGCTGTTTAATAAATCTATAAATCTATACAGCCATGAACGTATAAATAAATTAATAAATCATCTTTGTGGGCGAGTCATACTTCTTACAGCAAGAGTAAGAGAACCACAGAAACATATAATAAACACATCAATCTACTTAATATTATATCAAAATATCTTTTCGTTTAAATAATTTTTTTTTCTGATATTGTACTCAAACGCTTGTACTTCAACTTACATAGATAGTGCAGGAGTACTGGGCCATCAGGCAGAGAGAGAGAGAGAGAGAGAGAGAGAGAGAGACGGAGGGGGCGTCCACACAAAACCAGAGGACCGGGAGAAAACCCACGTTGGAAGCTTTGGCACCTAGAAATGGACACAAATGGGCCACGACGTATGTGATAATGTGATTGTATATAAAGGGATTTTCATTCAGTCGTAATTTCTAATCAGCTATGTTGGGCGAAATACACGACGAGTTCAAATTGAATGGCCGTCTTTGGTGTCTGGTTATTCCAGTCTACACTGATAGTATTCTCCTACATGGACATTGGCACCCGA